ATTTAATTTAAAAAAATACAAATAAAAAAACATTTTTTTTAAAATGAAAAAAATAAAAATAAGTTTAATCACTTTATCAGTCATTGTTGCATCACTGTTGTTTTTATATCATGTTTTGTTGTTTTTGTATCATGTTTTTGTTGTTTTCATACATTGTTTTTGTCATTTTTATATCACGCCTCTGTTGTTATATCCTTTTGTTACTGTTTATTTATTAATAAATTTATATATGATTTTCAAATACATTTTACTAGTTTCCTTTCATCTCTCACACTTCTATTATAGAGAAAGGGCAAATAGCAATATTAAAATATCTCTGCTAATTAATTCCCTTTTTTAAAAAAAAATATATTTTATTGATTTTTTACAGAGAAGAAGGGAGAGGGATAGAGAGTTAGAAACATCAATGAGAGAGAAACATCAATCAGCTGCCTCCTGCACACTCCCCACTGGAGATGTGCCCGCAACCAAGGTGCATGCCCTTGACCAGAATCAAACCTGGGACCCTTGAGTCCGCAGGCCAATGCTCTATCCACTGAGCCAAACTGGTTAGGGCAATTAATTCCCTTTTAACGTGCACGAATTTTGTGCACCGTGCTACTAGTTGAAAAATAAAATTAAGAAAGTTATATAGAGAATGTGATAACAAGATGTTAACTTGTGCAGTTTTTAATCTGAGAGGAATTCAAAAGTGACAGATCTGTCTGGCTCAAGGAATAAAAACACATTCAAATCTTGGATCTTGGGTCATCATAATAAATTTAGTCCTGTCCTATTAGGAAATTACTTCTCTGAACTGAAGCGGATAGAGAATTTGTTGAAGGTATTCTGGGGACTCAATCTCCTGGACTCCTAACTAACATGTAGAGAAAAGAATCAAGAAATAAACAAACATGCACAGAAATTACTGGCCTCCACTTTTTTAAATATATTTTTATTGATTTCGGAGAGGAAGGCAGAGGGAGAGGGAGGTAGAAACACCAATGATGAGAGAGAATCACTGATCAGCTGCCTCCTGCACACCCCCCACTGGGGATTGAGCCAAAAACCTGGGCATGTGCCCTGACCTTTGACTTCCTGGTTCCTACCTGTGACTTCCTGGTTCCTAGGTTGACACTCAACCACTGAGCCACACTGGTTGGGTTGGCCTCCACTTCTTTTTTTTTTTTAATATATTTTATTGATTTTTTACAGAGAGAGGAAGGGAGAGGGATAGAGAGTTAGAAACATCGATGAGAGAGAAACATCGATCAGCTGCCTCCTGCACACCCCCTACTGGGGATGTGCCCACAACCAGTGTACATGCCCTTGACCGGAATCGAACCTGGGACCTTTCAGTCCGCAGGCTGACGCTCTATCCATTGAGCCAAACTGGTTAGGGCTGGCTTTCACTTCTTAAAGCAGCCTTCAAAAATAAGCCCAGTTGAGGGTAGGAGCAGGATGGTACAAAAATACAATTTCATGTATTTATGTTCTTTTGGTAAATTTCTGTAAAATTCCTGAAATATTGGCAGGTGAGATTATATGATGTCTGTGATTTGATTCAGTGAAGGGGGATGGAGAGGGAAGGAAGTGGTTGGGAATATTAATGATACAAGATTGGCCATTAGTTACAAGTAGTTGCAGCTGGATGATAGCTACATAATGGTTCATTAAAGATTTTCTCTATTTTTTTAAAATATATTTTTTATTGATTTTAGATAGGAAAGGAGAGGGAGAGAGATAGAAACATCAATGATGAGAGAGAATCATTGATTGGCTGCCTCCTGCATGGCCCCCACTGGGGATCAAGCCCACAACCCAGGCATGTGCCCTTGACCGGAATCGAACATGGGACCCTTCAGTCTGCAGGCCAACGCTCTATCCACTGAGACAAACCAGCTAGGGCTCTATTTTTTTTTTAAATATTGGAAATTGTTCATAAAAATGTATTCTGTGTAGCACATTTTACTTCACTTATATTTGGAGAAGTTTAAATATTAAGATTCATTGTTGTTATACTGAAGGAACAAAAAAGCAAATAAGAAATTATTATAAATTGCATCTAGAAAAAATTGGTCATTTTTTTTCTTTAAAGAAGAATTTTAATAGCCTAACTGTAAAAAACAATGGAATATTAGGTAAAGCTCCCTGGAGATCCCAAACCCATCTTTAGGTTTGGTGATTCACTAGGACTCAAGGGCCTCAGCATACAGTATACTCACAGGTTTCAGTACAGTGAGAGGATACAGAGCAAAATCAGCAAAGTACAAAGGCACATAGGGCAAAGTCCAGAAGAAACCAGATGGCTTTCATGAGTCCTCTCCCCATGGAGCCTCACAGGATGTGCTTCATTCCCCCAGCAGTGAGGTGTGACAACACATGTGAAAACTTGTCTACCAGGAAAGCTCATTTGAGACTGAGTGCCCAGCGTTTTTACTGGAGGCTCTTCCCATAGGCACTTCTGCCTAGAACTTACCAAAATTACAGACCCTTCAGATGGAAAGACTTATTCAGCATAAACCACATTCTTTGTTAGGCACAATGAGCCATTCATATCAGGGAATGATGGAAACCCTCCCAAAATCCAAGTTCCTAGGTACAGTCAGGGGCAGCCTGGCTAGCAGGCCCTTCTAAAGACAGCAGCCTCAGGCCTGCTGTGTGAACTCCTTTCTGAACAAGAGCTGTAAAAACTGTATCTTTTCGAGACCAGGGATTAGACTGTACATGGTTTTATGATTTTATTATAAACTAGAGGCCTGGTGCATGAAATTCATGCACTGGAGAGGGGTCCCTCAGCCTCGCCTGTGCTCTCTCACAGTCCAGAACCTCTCGAGGGATGTCTGCCTGCTGGCTTAGGCCTGATCCCCTGAGGGGTCCCAGACATCCCTCTCCAGACTGACATCCCTATCGCAGTCTGGGACCCCTCGCTCCTTACCACCTGCCTGCACACTGCTCCTTACCACCACTGCTGCACTCGCCAGCCATGAGCCCAGCTTCTGGCTAAGCAGCATGCTCCCTCTGTGGGAGTGCACTGACCACCAGGGGGCTGCTCCTGCATTGAGCATCTGCCCCCTGGTGGTCAGTGAACATCATAGTGACCAGTCATTCCACTGGTCATTCTGTCATTCAGTCGATTTGCATATTAGAGTTTTATTATATAGGACTAGTGGCCTGGTGCATGAAATTTGTGCACGGGGGTAGTCCCTCAACCCGGCCTGCACCCTCTCACAATCTGGGACCTCTGGTTCCTAACCGCTCACCTGCCTGCCTGCCTGTTCGTCCCTAACTATTCTGCCTGCCGGCCTGCTCGCCCCCAACAGCCCCCCCTCCAGCCTGCTCACCCCCAACTGCCCGCACCCTGCCTGCTCACCCCCAACTGCCCGCCACCCCCTGCCAGCCTGCTCCAACTGCCACCCCCTGCCAGCCTGCTCACCCCCAATTAGCCCCCTGCCGGCCTCGTTGCCCCCAACTGTCCCCCTGCTGGCCTGCTCGCCCCCAACTGCCCCCACCCTGCCAGCCTGATTTCCCCCAACTGCCCCCACCCTGCCAGCCTGATTTCCCCCAACTGCCCCCCCTGCCAATCTGCTTGCCCCTAACTGCCCCCCTGCCGGCCTGATCACCCCCAACTGCCCTTCCCTCCTGGCCTGATTGCCCCTAACTGCTTCTGCCTCAGCCCCACCACCATGGTTTTGTCCAGAGGACATCCAGAAGGTCTCCCAGAAGGTCTCCCAGTCTAATTAGCATTTTACCCTTTTATTAGTATAGATAGAGGCCTGGTGCATGGATGGGGGCCAGCTGGTCTGCCCTGAAAGGGGTCCTGGATCAGGGTGGGGGTCCCTTGGGGGGTGGGGCTGGCCTGGGTGAGGGACCTGTGGCGGTTTTCAGGCTGGT